TAAATCGGCAGAATTCACATGTCTTTGTTCAAACTTTGTATTTCCATATGGAATTCCTCTTATGCTGGTCGCTTTTCAAATGTAATTTTAGTATATTTAGCTTTAATAAGATTTGCTTCTAAAGGAAATGGTTAAAATTATTACATCATTTTAGGATTATGGAAAGTGTTGAAATTTACGAAAATTTTAAAACCATATATTGAATATCTAAATAATAAATATTGAACATAAATGCTCAACTTTTATTTATTTTCGAAGCTAACAATCATTTAAAGCAATTTTTCTCAACAAACTCCCGAAACTATTAAATGCAATAAAAAAACCAAACAAATTAATAACGATTTCTTAATCTATTATAAAAATCAACGTTCACATTGGAATCTCACCAATTTTCCGAAAGTTGTCTTGCTTTATAATATGTTTATGCAACATGTTATAAGTTAACACAATGAAACAAACTAAATAAAATAAAATAAAAACTTAAGAAATAAGACAACAAAATTAGAATATATACAATCGCCTAGGTATGAATATTGATGTTTTTACATAACTGCGTATTTTCAGTATCTTAATCACTACGGATGCCCAGATTCACTAAAAAATATTAATAATGTGCGTTTTAGTTTAACTAACAGTTTCAAAGTGTTTTTTTTTAGAATATAAAGTCAGATAAGGAAGGGAAGCACATGCTCAATAAACTCTTATATCATATTGAATATAGGTTTGCAACACATAAATTATGTATCCACAATAATATCCACATTAAAATAGTTAAGTAATCGGCATTCGTAGGCAGTGAATACTGTAACGGCCCTTTTTATCAATTGTTTTTAGAATTTTTTTTAACACAGATTAGTGGCATCAAAAAAATATTTGAGATCGGTTATTATTAATATTTGGTGAATTAATATTAGAAACAATGAGGGGGGGTCAACGAAACAAGCTTTATCGGAACATTCAGCACTGAAGGGTTTGTTTTTTTTAATTATACCAACGATAGTGCTAAAATTGAAAAAGTTTTGATTCGGTGTGAAGCTTACTTTAGACCTTCGTCATTTCCAAAATATTTTGCTTTTCTCTTTTCTGAAACTTTAATTCCTATTTGAGATCCATGAAGTTTCTTTTTTTATACTTTATTTTTTATTACAAGTAGAAAATCGAACATTAATAGTGCTCATCACGAAACATCTAAGCAGGAAAAAAAATTTAAAATTACCGTACTGTACAGTAATGATATATTTCTAGTAAAAAAAAATTAAATCTGGTAATAAAACCAAAATGTACAGTATTCAAACTATTTATTAGGGTAATTTTCCATTTATGCTGTAACGGTTTACCAGAAATTCTGGTTAATCTGTAAATTCTATATTTGTTTTTACTACACATTTAATAAAAAAATGCAAAGCTGAAAAGTAAATGAAGGCGAATAAATGTTTTTATTCCATGCTCTAATGTAGTATGATAAAATTAAGAAATTTTATAACATTAATTACATTTTATCACACATTATAAAATTATATTTTATTGTAAATTTTAGCAAAATAATTTTAAAAGCGCTTTGGTTAATTTACCGAGGTTTTTGGCTTTCCCATACAATCACGGCAAATTTAATCTTATTCTGGCAGTTTTAACAATACTTTTTTTCCTCAGTGCATGCATTTGTAAAATTACACAATTTAAATAATCTAATACAACAAACTACAATAATAAATACGTTTTTTGTACAAACATTCTTTTTAATTATGTGTTCTAAGCTTATTTTTTCATTACGAAAATAGTTACAAAATTCATTTAATTAAAATAAGTATTGAAAATTTTTGATGGTTAGAACATTTAATTATTTAAATATAGTTAAAACTTGTATATATTTTTACGCAATTTGTTTCATTTGAGACGCATTATTAGGCCAATCTAATACAAAAATATTTATTTATCAGATCCGTTGATATTTTAGTTTGTTTTTAATGTTTTGTTTTAGGAAAACAAGTCTGATCAAAATTTCTAGCCTCCAATACGGCATTTCTCAAGGGAATTTTATGCTTAAACTATTTATAGTATTTATGCCTATATGTTTATTAAAATTACAGCTAATCTTGAACTAATATTTTTTATTTCTGTTTTTCAAGGCGTAAGCTTTTTTTTTCCACTTAGTCATGAAACATTTGTAAAATACATCAGTGAACAGAATTTTTAGATTTAAAAATTAAATGTTATTAAGACGTTTAATTTTTATTCTGCTTTTAAACAATTCTTACTTTCCAAATTCGAAACCTTTTTACTCGCATTATTTTTTTATTCTTAATGTAATAAACTATTTTATACTATTCATTGTGATAAATTTTAACTTATAATAATCATTTATGCATATTTCCCAGACATTAGAAATTTAAAGAAAAAAGTTTTAAGTTTGAATTATATCTTGAAAAATTAAGTATTGTTCTGAACAAAAAAAAACAATTTTATTTCAAAATTGCTCTTTTAAATATTATTTAATTATTTCAAAATTGCTCTTTTAATTATTTTATTGATATATTGAGCGTAATTAGTAACTTTTGCAATGAATAATTTCCGATGAAGACGTTATTAATAGTACACAGAATAATATATCAACATTTTTAAAATTATCTTTAAACTTTCAACTAGTGTCAATATCTTAACAGTATATTTGTTACATTTTAGAATAATTACAAAGGCTTAATACATTAGATTGTGCTACAAATTGTACAATTTACCGAAACAACAGAAGTAACTTAATTTACAATTCAGTTACAATCTATGTATCTTAAGCAGACAGGCGGAAATGTGTTTATTTTGACTATTTAGTGAAACTGCTAGTTAACAAATAACTACAATTGAGTAATAATGAATCTGATAAATAAAACGGTAAACATGTAAGTACACACTTGCTAGTCAGATAAAATTCAATTTAAAATTTATTGGTATGCATTATAAATAAGCCATAATGATTTGATGAATGCAAATTACTACTTCATGTTACAATCAAAATGATTCATGCAGACTAGTAAAATTTAATTACACAGTAATAATTAACAACAGTAGTTCATTTTCACAATTTTCCAGTAGTTAGAAAGACGCATTTAAAATATAGAGAAAATATTCTTAATTATTCGAGAACTTAATTAACATGAATTTTATTTTGTGATCATGAAGCTTATTCTACACTTAAACTTAATTTATTTTCAGTGAATTAAAAAATAAAAAAATTTAGACACGAAAATGCGGTTTAGAAATAATTGAGTATAAAACATACATAATAAATATTAGTTTTAGCCATTAAAATAAAGGCGTGTAATGAATGCAATTCTTTTCATTCATTTTAATTATCATATACATAAATAACTACTTGCACTCCTACAGTCTAAATATATTATATATAATAAGAACAAAAAAAAAGACACCAAGCAAGATTAAAAAATTTAGCGAAATTAAAGAGAAATGTGGATAACTTAGAAGTACGAAAAAATAAAAATAATGTGTATTCATGTGCAAATTTAGTTTTCTAATTTTTATATGCCATAAAATTTTTAATTGAATTTACATAGTTTCTATTTGTTTGTGAATCATAATAAAAATAATTAAAAAAACTATAAAAAATATTCATTACAGTTATTTTCATAAACTATATATAAAATTGTCTCAAAATACAAGCAGTATAACCATTTTAGACTTCATTCATTCCACTTCACGTTTTCTATTTGATAGAGGCAATGATCATATCCCAACCATCATATTCAATCATTTTGAATACAAGATGGATTTATCTGCTAATATTATCTTATTAAACCCAAATATCACAGCGTAATTTTAAATTTCATTAGACATTATATGTCCTTTTCGTGGCTATTTGATTAGCAATAATACCAGTTAACGATATTGTAAATCCCACTGTTGTTAGAATTTGGAGCGATATGGTAAACCCATTTGCCATTTTAAATATCGTTTTTAGTGTTATTTTTTTTATGTCATTTCTTGAACAAGCATTTTTAACTTTTTTTCCCTTTCCTGTTTTAAGACTTAGCTTGATTTTTTAGTGGAAGTCTATGAATGATGTACTAAATACTGTGTGTAATAAAAACTAACCACCCTGAATAACTTTTGATCTAATCATCTGATCTTCACGTTCTAAAGTTCTAAATATCAACCTTAATGCTTCGAATGGGTGCCCTCAAATATACTAACTAATTAGTGCACACGATATTTTAAATTACAAAATTAGACACAAAGGCGTACTCTATCTCTCAAAAAACCTATATGTCTTTTTCCGAGGGATTTCTGATCTCTAAAATATAGGAGGTTAGGATAGCGGACCAGGTTTGAACCCCTTAAAGTTAATTTTACTCTTTGCGTATTTCACCATATCTCGAACTTTTTAAACGAATTGGAATACTTCTGCACAAAATTTTAAAATTTGCTTATCCAAAGGTAATTCCGTAAAAAAAACTTTTTTTTTTTTTTACTTAATAGTCGAAATCATTTTAAATTGTAAGGTATACAATTTTTACATGATTTTAAAGAATGTATGTGAACAAAATACAAAACTTGAGATACGTTGGTTGAATAGTTCCAGACAAATCAAATTTTTAAAATACTTTTAAAAAAGTTTTAAATTTCAATTTCTCAGAACCAATCATGGCAAATTATTGAGAGTGGTTTGTGTTTTTTTCGCACTCTAACTAACGCACATAGGTGACACGTTGGTTGAACACCTTTCTTCCTTTCTGGTGGAATGGCATATTTGAGATGATGAGGTTTTAAAATCAGCTTCAAACTGACTTTTATTCTGGTATTAATTTACAGACTACTGGTTTTATTCTTTATTAATATTTAACCTAAAAAAATTGCAGGAAAAATTATTTCAGAACTATTCTCATACAAATAAATATTTTCATGTGGAATATTTAATACCATAGGATAAATCTATTTGTAACAAAAATTTTATAAGTGAATTTAAATTTATTCGAATAAATAAAAATCTTTTTCAGTTTTATGTCTGATATAAAGTTGGCGAGATATGCTTAAAGACCCATCATTCAAGGCATCAACATTTGAGAATTTCCTACTTATCCTCATGACTGCCGTCCCCGTATTCAGTGAGTATGAATATTATTAGAAAGTTCTAAATATAGATTTGTAATTATTTTGTAATTGCAAATATTTATATAGTTTTGCATATGGCTAAATATCTTAAACGGACCCTAAATAATTAGTTTAATAAGAAAAAATGCGAAAAAATCATGTAACTCTAATGTAATTTAATCATGTAGCCGACTTGCGATAATCTTGGCTACCATTTTAGGGAGAAAAAAGAAACTATTGTTCTAGACACTTTAATTTTCAGAGTAGTAGTATTAATATTTACGGAGTTATACGAGAATCGTCTTGAATCTTGAGAAAAGTTTCGAGGTTTCGTTGTCAAGCCTATATAAATAGGAGTGTCTGCTTGTAACTGAAGTAGTGTTCTGTCCTGAGTTAGATTATTGACTCGTCTGAGGCTGTAAATTTTGCCCTGCAAAAAATGACCAATAGAAATCAATAAAAAAATGTATTGATCTGTACGGGGAAATGGAACACTGATATCAGTAGAGTAGATCAGTACAATGGACTGGTCATGATATATTGATATCAGTAGAGTAGGTCAATACACTGCATTGGTCTAAATCAGTAGAATGGACTGGTCTCTACGGGGAAGTGGAACAATGATATCAGTAGAATGAACTGGTCTCTATGGGGAAATGGAACACTGATATCAGTAGAATGAACTGGTCTCTACGGGGAAATGGAAAATTGATATCAGTCGAATTTACTGGTCTGTACAAGGAAATGAGACACTGACATCAGAAAAATGGACTGGTCTAAGTTAGGGAAAACAACATTAATGTAAGCATATTATATTGGTTTAAACAGGAAAATGCAACATTGTTTATCTTTTTTAATATGCAAGATTTAGCTGAATTGGTCACCTGCTTTGTAAGCACTATGGTCAATTTTCTACTAGCTGCAGCCAGTGGAAAATTTAATATAAATTAATAAAATATAACAGGACAGTATAAAAATAATACTTATTTAAAGCATTTAAAAATGTTTTGAATATTTAAAGTTAAACACTGCTTAAGTGTAAGGATAAAAGAATTATATTCTAAAAAAACATACTTCCTTATACCTACAATATGCTAGTTTTAAAGTTAACTTTAATTTCCTTTTCACATTTCCAATTTAATTTTAAATATAATTTATCACTAAATTACATTTTATTGTTTAATNAAAGAATTATATTCTAAAAAAACATACTTCTTTATACCTACACTATGCTAGTTTTAAAGTTAACTTTAATTTCCTTTTCATATTTCCAATTTAATTTTAAATATAATTTATTACTAAATTAAATTTTATTGTTTAATATAACTATAAAAAGAAACTTAAAATGTGAATTCAAGAGGGTACCTTATTGGAAAAAATTCCTGGTATAAAAAAAATCATGCCGGCGTATAAAACACCGGTTCTGGTATGATACTGGATCGGGAATTATACCAGACCCAGTGTTTCATCAGCCGGTATCATACCGAAACTGGTGTTTCACAAGTTAGCAGGATACTGGCTCCGGTATAATACCTAAATTGTAGTTTCATTATCTAGTTTCATGCTAGAGCCAGCATATACTGGTACTAGTGTACTGTGCTCAGCATACTGGGATAGTGTTTTAAAAACCGGTTTATTCTTAAAACAAGCATAGTGTGTTACTACAGTTTGATACAGGAACGTTAGTGAGCAGCTCTGAACGGGAAAATAAAGCATTGATACACAATTGGGTAAATAAGTCAAGTCACCTGATTTATACCGATAAATAAAACACTGACATCAATTAATACTTTATCAAAAGCTATAGTTTGCATTATGTTTATAAAAACAAACTAATTTTTTTTAAGCTTCTTTATAGTTCATGAAATTTTTTTATACAATAAATTAAAATGTTAGAAAATTATTGTCAATAATTTTTGAATCTACAATATTACACAAAAAAATGTTTTGGAGCGACATTATAAAAGTACAAATGGATTCTTCAGATTTTATGAAAATGGAATGGGGATTAGAAATGTTACTTTATAGATAGCCAAAAACCTGACTAAAATAAACAAGTCAACTTATTGTTGTTTCAAGACCCCCCCCCACACACACGTTTGATATAGCATTCTGGTAGTTTCAAGTTTCAATACTTAAAAAAGAAAAAAATGACAGAACAATCTTAAAGTATACTATAGGCTTTAAATCCTTATACACACAAATGATATAGCTATTTATTTGATTTTTATCTAAACATAGCTTGTGCTAAGCATTTGTCATCTAACCAAATACGATAAAACTGTAAATTTGGCAACAAAAAAAATTGTTACTTTGGGGAAAGTCTTGGCGAATGCTGTTTTCGAACAAAAGGAAAAATTTATCCATTCATTGCTCATTTACTCCTCCCCAACAGCAAAATGACTCTTGTTTTGTATTTGCATTTTTATAAAATAATTCAATTTATAATAAATATGTATTTTGCTTAAAAGTTTGCTACTGAAAAAATCAATCATAAAAATTTTTTCAGATTTGCCTTTGGATTAGAATTTTGAAAACTGGCAAATAATTTGAAATCCTTAGCATGGGCAATGAATATATAAATAGTAATATCATATTCAAAGGTCAGTAAAGAAAAAGAGCAGGTAAACAAAGAAAACACAACACCAGCAGCAAAATTATAATGATAATCATTCCAAATACAATGGAAAATTAACCAGTAAGAATAACCTAAACCAAATTTACAAAAATTATAGTTTAAAATGAAATAAAATTAGCACTACAATGAGAAAATAATAAAACATCATAGTAAAAGGTACATCATACTACAAGGAGTGAAACGACTTTAAGTCTATTTAATTTGAAGAGATGGTAAGACTCGTTTAATAAGGCATTTATAAAAAAGTCCATACGTTTCGCAGAGAACTTCTAAATGAAAATGTTTTTCTAATTTTGAAAAAACCAAATCAAACACTTTTTCTTTAATTTTCACTGGTAAAGTCACAATCACAATAATTCAGAGCAATAGCAACAGACATTTAAAAGTAGTATCCGGAAGAAGAAATGCTCTAGTTAACAAAACTTGCTGGGGGAGGTACCTGGGCAAAGCAGAACAGAGAAGGCCTGATCAAATCTTTCCCGCAGCATCCACCTCTGGCACATTCTTTATATTTTAGTCTATTTCTCTCACAATGGTAAAGCGAGTGGATCGGCTTTACACTTCCAGGAATGTCACAATGGCTCAGGGAATAGAGTTCGCCTTTCAATGAGATGAATCGGGTTCATGATTCATCATGACAGATCATGGGTTTGAGTCCCCTTGACGCCAGACTAACCGTGACAGGTTTGAGTGGTTTTCTTCTCCATGTAACCCAAATGCGGGTTAGTTCCATCAAAATTTCTTCTAATACTTGGTCCAGGAGTTCTCTCGTCTACTGGATTAGGTTCAAAATTAGAAGGCTACGGAATTGAGCATTAGTAGTTGTAAACTCAAAAAAATTAGTCGGCTGTTCAACGATGGTGTTAAAATAAAGTGGCTGGGGAGCCAATAAAACTAAGATAGACACACTTGAAACTAAGATGCCTTTGCCAATGGATCGTCTTGGTTTAGATTCATTCGGCATCCGCCTTTTTGTTTATTTACTGGCTTGTTCCTATGTAGATGGTAGTGTGATTAAGAACGCCGTACCAAGTGAGGAACTTTTCGTCGCAAACTCTCATTCTCCTCCATATCTGCTTTAAAATTTGAAATACAGAAAAAGTAAATTCAGAAGAAACCTAGAGTAAAGTTTCAAATACTGAAGAGAAATTTTTGAAATATCCAAATAGAAATAAATTATGAGAAGATAACTTTGAATTACGTAATGGAAAAATTCTTCCAATGATAATTTGTTTGCATTTTGCTATTTTGAATTTTTTTTCCTGCAAATGAGGCTTCATTTCTGACTCTTGGTTTAATGAGCTAAATTATGTTTCTATTTTTTAAATTTTAAATTACTGATGGAGGCAAAAGTGAGTTTGTGACGAATAATTTCTCCCGTGGCATGGCGTCCGTTTAAGGCCTCGTTCTCTTTGCTATTGAACTAGGAGAAGAGAACTATAGAAGTGATGCGAGTTTATTATGAAGGTGGTCAGTAAACCTATTGAGGCTGAAATTCTTTTCTTCGGTTGAGGACTAGAGGTTTAAATATAAGGGTTATCAGATAAAGTGTTGTTCACGCTGTCTAGCCGGAATCAAAATTACGATGTACTCTAAAAATAGTCATTAAAAGATAGAGAACTTAAGACTGGGATGCGTGCTTTTTCATGGTTGGGGAGTAAACATATTTTGGAGAGGAATTTAGGACAGGGATGGGCACACTACGGCCCGCGGGTAACTGTGGCCCGCCTGAAGGTTTTATCCGGCCCTCGTGATTCCTGGCTAATTAGGAAAAGCTTTCAAATATGAAGATAGCTTGAAAAAACTCCATTTTGAGCTTGAAAGCAGATTTCAAGATTTCAGTGCCATTCAAACTGAATTAGATGTTTTTATCATGCCTTTTAACAGTGAGGTCTGATTTACAGCTTGAATTAATTCAGTTGCAATCTAACAATCATCTGAAGCAGTTGTTTCTAAATATGACAATGTTTGAGTTTTACAAAGCGCTACCAAAAGCTAATTTCCCAAATTTAATATCTCATGCCCAGAAAATCAGTGCTATGTTTGCTTCATCTTATATATGTGAACAAATTTTTTCAAACATGAACCTTAGAAAAAAGTCATTTCAGAAGTAGACTAACAGACAAGCATTTAGTCTTAAAATAAGTACATCTCACTTCGAACCTCAATGTAAGCAACTTTTAAAAATGAAATCGCAATTTCATTTATCTTAAAAATATTTAAATTAAAACTCATGAATCGTTTTTTTTTAGTTTTAGAAGTTTTTACTTAATCCACCAAACTTTTTTTTCCGATTTTTGACTCTTGACCAAAAAAGTTTGCCCGTCCCTAGTTTAGGATCTAAGGTTGTTTCTTTTGATATGTACAGATACCTATGGCTCAAGTTCATTTCATGTTCATAGCCAACTCCTACTAAAATATTTTGGATGCCAAGGAGGCAATTACTACATTGTAGCAATTTTATGGACTAGGACTATGTTACTACCCGGATGAAAAAGGTAACTATTGTGCTGCGACGTTCACTATTGATGGACAAAAGTCATAATTTCGTCTATGAATGGTATCATAACGAAGTGGGCAGATCTGTCTATGTTAGAACCATGTCAACATCCTCTAGAATCGATCGAAAAATTCAGGGTTCAAAATCCAGCAAGAACAATCAGTTAACCAACTATTTTTCTATTTCTGGTGTCCAAAAATTTATTATTAGATGACAAAGCAATATTTTTTTTAAAAATTTTATTCTAGGTTCCCGATCTCACGCACCTTTTAGGATACATAAGCTCCATATTCCCAATCCAGTGGTAACTGGAGACAGCGTTCGCTTACAGTGTGGATATGATCTCGGCAATGAAACATTGTACGCAGTCAAATGGTACAAAAACAACAGAGAATTCTTCCGATATGTACCCGCAGCCAATCCTCCCCTCAAAGCTTTTACCCAGTTGGGTGTAGATGTAGATGTAAGTAAATTAACATGTCTTAACTGATCCTCCGGAAAATTCAAAATGTCTGTTGAATGTCTGTTGTATATTTCTAATGGTCAATAAGAGTTTATTATTTATTCAATTCAATTAATATTCAGCACTCAATCATCAATATTATGTATTCAATTTGTAAGATTCGATGAGCAATTTATAACTCCTCAACTTTAGATGCGCAATTTTAAACTCAATTTTAGATATGATATTTATAACCCACCAACATTAGATATGCAATTTTATTGACAACAACTGGAGATATGCTAATCTAAATAGTCTAATCTAATCTAAACTAATCTAAACTAGATATGTGCTTAGATGCCAGACGTGTACTCATACACCTACGCAGCTATGTTAACAGAAATTTTTAAATAAAATAGTGCATAAAAATTAAATTCGAAAAGAAATTTAATGCAGAAAGTTTGTAGACTTGATTGCTTAGACGACGGGTTAGTCATTCAAAATTAAAATTAGTGTATGTATGTTTTTTTCCACATAAATAAAGTTACTAAACACTTTCAATGAATAATTTTCACTGCTATTTTGGATTTACATTTTTAAGATATATTGCGTAGATAAAAATATGAACAGTGGGTGACATGAATTAAAACAAAATTTGAGCAACAAATGCAATTGAAAAAAATAGGAAATTAATGTTGGAAATAGTTATTTTGTAAGTTTTCTATTAACACTATGAGCTACTTCACGATTTGTGTATTTTTAAGTTATATTAAAAAGTATAAATGTAATAATGCAAATTACAAAATATTACTTTGCAGTTATCTAGGTCTGGAAATAGCACAGTATTTCTAAGAAATCTGAGTATGGACAGTTATGGTAATTATACTTGTCAAGTTTCGACAGATAAGCCTAATTTCAGATGCATGCAGACTACTCGAACGTTAGAAGTAGTTGGTAATTATACATTTCTTTTAGTAGTTGGTAATTATACATCGAAATAATGATTCAAACAAACTTTGATAGAAAATATCATTTTTATGGCAAGCAAGATTTAAAATTATTATTATTTGCTTCTGTAACATGGAACAATCAAAAGCATCTTATGCGAAGAAGAAACAATTATTTTTTTTAAAGCTCTAAAATTGCAAATTGTTGCGAACATCTTACATACACAAAAATATTGCAGCTTTTCTAAAACTATAATATAGTCATACTGCTTTTTTGAGCAATATTTAAATAATAATTTAACAATAAAAGTGCATTTTATTTTTTTTAAAAATGCTATAAACTTTTATTTTGTATGAACTAGATTGAAACAAATTAATCTAGCAAAGCTCTTGAATAATATTTTTTCGATTACATAACAAGCTAAATAATATCATACTTTATGGTTAGATTTACGTATATTTGTTGTACGAGATTCTCCTAAATATGACTGACGGTATTCAAGAAAGTATAACAGAATGAAAAGTTAAGGTTCAACAAGTCATGCAGAAAATACGTAATAAGTTAGAAATTTTGCCTCCTAAAGTTCCTAATATAAGCTCAAAAGTATCGACAGTTTACACTGCAGATAGTAAAAAAATAAATAAAAAAAATCGAATGACTGAAAAATCGTCTAACAATGCATTCAAGATATTTATCAACCACTACTATATGTTTAAATGTGACAAATGGAAATGGAATTTTGAATTATTTTTTTTTGTAACTTATAAATTTTTACTTTTTTTGACAACGCCATCTATTGAAAGCAGTTTGAACTAAAACAAAGAAATCGATGGGGAAAATCTATTAACTGTCACATTAATATATAGGAAGAATTTTTTTCAACCTTACCTGTTTTCTTGTAATAGATTTCAAAAAATAGCAGTAGTTTTATTCCGGACATTTTTATCTAATTATTACTAATAATTATCTACTTAACAGACGTTCGCAAAACTCTAACTTGGGAATATGGATAGATTTGAAGTGAACGGAACAATTAATTGCATTAGTTTCAATCTAGATTGAAAAAAAGAAATTAAATATTTTTGTGAATTTCAATTGCAACTAGCTCAATTCAGAATATTTAATGAGATTTTGTTTATTTATTTATTAATTTTTCCCACTATTGTGAGATTAAAAAAAGGTTTCATGCGATAAGTATTGCAGATACTAAAATTTGAGACAGATGATATAAACACAGATATTGACTTTTAACGGTGATGTTTCTTATTAAGAATTTTGTTATCATTAATAATAATTATTTTCGTTATTACAATTAATATAACTACTCGTATTATATTAGTTATTACTAACCTTATTTTTATTTAAAAATTTTAATTTTTCTTAATTTTAGTTCCTCCTTCAGATAGTCCAATTTTAATGACAGAGAAGTCATATTATGAATTAGGAGATAATGTGTCAATCCTCTGCAATTCTGGTAAAGCAAAACCAGCACCCGAGCTCAAATGGTACATCAACGATCAATTAGTGAGTAGAGATATTAATTATTAATGCCATGCAATTGAAAAAATAATGTACGTTTTTCCCGATTGTGAAGCACTTATGTTTCTTTTTTTTCTCAATTATATGACACATTACTAATCAATATTTAAGATTCTTTCAAATTTACAATTTAATTATTTCTGTGAAGAGTAATTTTTTACTAACTTTTCCAATGCGTTTCTGTTACAGTTTAATCTTGTTTATATCGTATTTTACTTAATCAGAAAAAGCACTGAACCAGACGAGAATATTTTGGAATGAGAATAATTTTTTTTCATTCAAATTGGTAAACAACTAAAATAAGTAAAGCTTTCAATTTTCCTTAGTATATTTATAACTTGAATAGTTTTTTAAAATATTTCGTTGACCTTTACTCTTACTGATACAATATTTTGAATTATTTTTGCTGATACAATAATACAATAATATTTTCTATGAAATGTAGTTACTTCAAAATTACAAAAAAAAAAAATACTTTATGGTTAAAATTAAAAATAAAATGTAGCAAATGTAGTTCTAAACAAAGTAAGACATGTTTAACATTTAACTGGCTTGTTTGAAACATTTCAATGGATAAATATATAGCTTTAAAATTGATGACTTCTGCAGGATGTTTTATATGCACTGTCCTAAGTAAGTAATTTTACAATTCTTACTAACTCTAAAATTATTGCGCATTTTATTATTCGCTATTTAATATTTAAGAGAGAGATTATTCTAGAAAAAACACATGCACTGTAAAAGTCTGGTAAATGACTAGTGAAGAAGACGAGATCAAAATCAACTAGACTAGTTTGATTGACTAGTTATTATTAAACAAGTAAATATATATGTACTGTCAAAATCTGATGACTGACTTTTGCAGAAGACGGAGCTAAAATCTCCAATTCCAGCTTGGTTGCCTAATTAATATTTAAGTCAGGTAAAAACATACATTTTTGAGAAAAGTTTACATATCAGGGAATAACATACATCAAAATCTGAATAGTTCTGTAATCTGTAACTTGTTTGGTCATTCATCTGATATTATAGAATTTGTCTTTTTCGCCTCACTCGAATATCAATGTGGAACTCACTATTTGAAAAGAAATCTGAGAATAAATATTCCGTGATAATTACGGAATATAATATAATGCGTCTGATTGGATTAAAACTATGAGACAAAAGTAATGGTAGTTGCATTTTCCTTTATTCTTGCATGTTCTATAATGATAAGTAAAATCATATTTATCCCAATGCATCCATATAGTTCTTAAATTATTATGTCAAAATCTCTTATAAAGACCTCGTTAGGATAAAGACTAGTAACAACGGAATCATTTACACTTATTCTTATGTCTTCCATAAAGATAAGGAAATACATAACTCCCGCAATATATTAATATACATACAACATCATGATGTCAAAATATCATGAAGTGCTATGATAGAAATTGTGAGAATAAAGTGAGCATGCACCGTCAGATGGGATGACTTTGTGCAGGAATTTTCAGTTTTCCAACTTTGACCTTATAAAAAATGGTTAAAATATGCTGAATTGCACATCATCTAATTTAAAATTTGTTGTTAGCCATCTGGAAAGTAACTGCGCGTAGTTAAGAGCTGATTTGAAATGTTTATTATTTGTAAACAATCAATTAGTCGAATGCACAAAGTCACTCCAGGATGGGGTGACTTTGTGCAATGCAATAAAATAATGACTTAGTTCAGTTATGTTCATTCACTTTGACTTAAAATCGTTTAATAAGCAATATTTAACTTTTTTAACGAACAATACAAGTATATTACATATAAATATGTACTATGTATTAACAAATCTACTAAGATGAACATAAAAACTTTAATTTTCAGATTTTTTTAACATTATTAGATTTTTTCTTATTAATTAAATCTTAGGTAACTTTTTTGTGATTTTCAGGTACAATCAAACATTTGATATGAATTGACATGAATGAACAGTTGAATGAATTCCCTCATTTAACACCCCCAAATTGCCTCCAACTCTACAACTCCGAATGATCCTCTCTTATTAACAGTCTCTTATTAAATATCTTAAATAATTAGCATACAAAAATTTAAATGAAAAATAACTATATGAAAATGAAGAATAATATTCACCATGAGATTTTTTTGAATTCCGAATTTTTTTGACACTTTCGAAACGGATAAGCCATTNTAAATATATATATATATGACAGTCGGCAAAATAAACTTCAACGCCGCCCTCTCGAATCGGTTAGCGACGGGCCTGAATCTACTTAAGATTAACATAAAAACTTTAATTTTTAGATTCTTTCTTATTAATTAAATCTTAGGTAACTTTTTTTATGATTTTCTGGTACAATCAAACATTTGATATGTATTGACATGAATGAACAGTTAAATTAATTCCCTCATTTAACGCCCCCAAATTGCCTCCAACTCTACAACTCCGAATGATCCTCTCTTATTAAATATCTTAAATAATTAGCATACGGAAATTTAAATGAAAAATAACAATATGAAAATGAAGAATAATATTCACCATGCGATTTCGAATGCTTCGCACGAATTTTGTTCGAAATCGTGTTTCGGTGAATTCCGAATTTTTTCGACACTTTCGAAACGGATAAGCCATTTTTTACTTCTGCCAAACATTTTTCTAACGCTTCTTTGGTGTAGTAATCGCTATAATTTCTTGCTCCAGGCTTTCTTTATAAGTCCTTGGCATGTTTTTCTCTGGAAAAAAATGCACCCCAGGGTACATTTTTTTATTAATTATTAAATAACTAACATTGTAATAATTAAAAACAAAAAAGTATGCATGATTTGTTACCTCAATTGATAAGACTTTTAAAGTATAACCTTCTTTCCTGGCTAGGATAACTAGAACTTCTTTAACCGAGCAGACTTTCCAGCCTCCGATTTTGCGACGTTAAAAATTTGAGACTGTTTCTAACTGGAGCTCATAATTTTCCAAGAACGATGATGTTTACATTTCCAGTTCTTGGTAAAACATTAGTTCCTTATGTTGACAACTGAAATCAGTTGATACCGAGCTTTAAAAAAATACCCCTAGATGGAACGACGCAAAAATTGAAAAAAACGACAGTTCGCACAAAGTCACCCCATCTGACGGTACCCTTAATTAGTAAATAATTTACAGTTATTCCTACGACTTCTATATCTATCGCTCTACAATCATATAATTTTTGCATCATGATCTCTTAATGTCATATCAGGCTTGCGTTGATATAAACACGATGATAGAAATGGAAACGTGGCTGAAATTACAGTTATTCTTATCCATCTTCCATATTGATAATTAATTGCATATCAATCCATATTTATTAATATAGCTAATGTATCATGAGATCAAAACATGATACTCTCACTAACAAAAAAATATGGTCCAAACTAAACTACCAGAAATATGGTAAAATTTATCTTGTTTCTGACTCTATGAAAACGCCAAAAAGTTCGGTGATTTTAAAAGAAGCGATTAGGTCATGATTTTGGTAAAACTAACAAAGAAATATAATTTTATATAATGTGTTAAAATTTGGTAAATGTGGTAAAATTTGGAAATTTTGTCATGATACCTTTGAGTATAGCATAAAAATCATTTATTCCGTTAAATTTACAAACCAGTTTTGTATTTTTTACTAAGTGCGTGGTATTAAGAACTAAGATTTTGAAAAACTGAATTTCCTACAAACCACTTCAATATGAAGATTAAAATTGATTGGCGAATGGTTCAAATATCATATATTTCAGTTCTTTTAACAAGAATTATTGGTTTGTTTTACCAGAAATGTCCTTATTATACAGTACTGTAATTTCACCAGAATGCTTTTTTTCTCTAAACACAACGAGATAATAACTATAGTATTGAAGTAAGCGTGTCTTCTTATTTAGTACGCATAGTACATTCACACTTATTTTAACACCTTCCATAAAGATAATCAAATACATATCTATCGCTAAACATTCATAAAGTTTTTGCATCATGATGTCAGAACATCGTGTATTGCCTGCGTTGAGATAAAAACTAAGAGAGAAATGTAACCATGACTGCATTTACATCTATTCATACGCCTTCCATAAAGTTAAATAAATGCATATTCGCCGCTACATATCAATAATTTTACTTTAAAGTGGATTAAAATCACCAAAAACTTATAAAGAAACATGAAATATTACAACTAATTTAATATTCAGCTTGAAATACCATTCGGAATCACGAAATATTTTTCTCTTTATTCATATTTTTTGTCAAAGATATTGCATTTTACCTTGTGAATGTCTAACAAATCAAATTTTCCTTTTCTCACCGCGGGACTTTCAATTGAATTTCTCTTCGTTCGTAAACAGATCGTGACTCTCATTTTCAAATGTGTCTTCAGTGACCTTTACTGCCAAAGTTTAAAAAGTTCTATTCCATCTCTAGACAGTTTCTGCATTTCACATTTTAATGTTATATGCCAAGCTCTTATATGATCAGAAAAAAAAATTTCTAGTCTTCTTCGGTTAAGCTGGAAACTGAGCTAAAAAAAAACCAAAAACTTAATGCCTTTTAAATATTTTATAATATTTCTTTGAAAATATTGTTAAACATTATATAAACATTTGAATTTAAAATAAACTTTATTGCAATGTACTGTGCCAAAATAATAAGAGGATAATAAATATTTACTAAAAATTATATTTTGCATGGATATCTTTAGATAAACTAATTGTATGCAAAAAAAATTCAGTTCACTTAGAAACATCTCGATCAATTTTGAAATACGCAAAAAGTAGAATTAACATTAAGGGGTTCAAACTTTGAAATGCTCTACTGACGGACCATATTTTTTTTTTTTAGGCTGCATTGCGCTTACACCTTTTATTTTGAGGGTCAGAAACCCAAATCAGAAAAAAATGCACGTTTATTCAGAGAAAGTTCACTTTTGTGTCTGATTTCGCTTCTTAGATTATCGTCCACACTAACTAATTAGCATAATTGAGATTACCCCCCCCCACACACACACCCAAACCGTTAAGATAGAGTTACAGAATGTAAAGATACAATTATTAGATAAAAAATTATATAGGGTGGCCTATTTTTTACGCAAATATGGTTTTAGTGCACAAGAATGAATTAAATTAAATCTACACTGTAAAAACTTATGGTTCATGCTAGTTTTGATGTTGAGGTGTACTAAATGCATTTTTATGGGCAGAAGCGTAGTTATGGGGTAAACAATTATAGAAAATAGACAAAAGAGCAAATGTTTGAAAAAATTACTGCAAATATATAACTAAAAATGAGCTTGTTTTTTAAACAAAATGTTTCTGCAATTTAGACATAAATTGATTCCAAAGTGTACGAAAATAGATATTACCAATAAACAAACGAATATATAGTGAATAAAATAAATAAAACTATAACAATGAAAAAGTAAATAAAAATCTAACGAATTTCTTTATAAGAAAAATTGTTTATGTCGACGCTAAAATAAGGTGGTAACAATACATCAAAATTTATTCACCGTATGAAAATAATTGGTGTATACATAATTGGTGCTTTGAGGTATCAAAATGTAATATTTACTAAAACATCATCTAAAACTTTGATTATTTTTTTAATAAATTTAATATTTTAATATAGTGTTAGTATATACTTTATAGTAAAAATAACTTTTCAGAGAAAGAAAATGTTTACATTTTTAGATATTATTAATAATCAGAAATATAATTCTCGTTTTTAAATATATAATAAATATATAATAATTACACCTATAAAATTACTGTAGTCGCATAAATAAAGTAAATAAACTTTCACAGTAAAATATTGTGAATGTATCTTACTAATGTGGTATGAATGACATGAATATAAAACACTTATTTAAAATCAATATTTTTTTAAATATTTTTATTTTTTATTTATTTATTTAATTTTTCTAAACCATGATATATATCTATTAAATATCTATTTGTTAACTTCCAGGATCTAAATTAGGATACATCTGTGTTATCTTGCAGAATCTGAATTACGATATCTGTTTTTTATCTTACAGGATGTAAATTAAGATATCTATTTATTATCTTACGGGATATAAGTAATGATATCTATTTGTTATCTTACTGGATCTAAATTAAGATATCTGCTTGTTATGTTACAGGCGCAGTCTGATCTATCCGACCAAGAAACAGTAGTTTATCCAGATCAATTAGAAAGCACGAGTTTGGCTCTTAGATTTCGACTTAAACCTGACGTATTGCACAATGGAAAAGTGGTTGTTAAATGTGTTGCTTCTATAAACCACATAAGTTCAGAATCAATAAAAGAAATAAGGGCAACAGGTAATAGTAAAAAAAACTATCATGTATCCTCAAATAAATTTGGCAGAGTGATATTGTAAAATATATAGAAATTATGAGCTGGCCTCGTGCGACTGTAAACACCAAAAAAAAAAAAGCTATCAGCGAATCTAAAAATTTATGTTTATTCATTTACACTCATATTCTTTATTGATTCTTAAACACGATTAATAAACAATTTGATAAATTGAATACGAATATCCATCAAATATTTTATAAGTGTATTTTTTTTCTTTTATTTATTTATACATATTCATTTATACTTCTCTTTTGGAGTGTGTTGAACCATAATATTGTTCAACGCAAGCGGAAGTAAATAGAATTTTTCACAGTGTATATAATTTAATTAATAATTTCAAATTTCATAAAAAAACTGTTTTGTGTTAAATAAAACAACAATTATTGCAAATCAATCAACGTAATAACAACGTGTCAGGATACTTAGCTGCCTAATATAATATATCTAACGAAGTTTTCATTTTATTGTTTATTTAATTCGTTGATCTAATTTATATATCAATTTTAATTTTCATTTTTGCAGGTTCGAAGCAAACAGAGCTGAAGCCAAGTTTATTTTATTTAATGTTCTTCTCGAGTTTAGTGTTTCACGCCATGCTAATGGAATTACCGATTTGAAGAAACCACTCAAAAAGGATGTCCTTTTTAAATGAAAAAAAAGAAACCTGAAGGGAGGAGAATTGTATGCAAATCAAAAGGAGAGATTTGTATACGTATTTTTGATGATGATTGGTGGAAAACCAACAATCTAGCATGTGAGGAATTTTTTTCTATTGGTGGATAAAGGTTTCAAAAACAAATGTTTGAAAGATTATGTCTCTATGAATTTGTGTATGATTGTTCGTGTGCTGTGTTACCTACTTGCCTTTAACAACTCCAAAAAATCCATCCTTTTTGTAATACCTAAGAGTATAAAAAAAAGTATAGCTATAAACGTAACAATAACTTTTATGAGGAAGTTTATAAATAAAGCATTTGAAGAGAAAAACAACATTATGAAAATGCTGAATTTAAGAAGCAGAAAAATACAGGGTAATTCAAAAAGATGTTTAATTAAATTAGTTTATATTTAATAAAATATAAATGCGATAAAAACATTTTACTCTGAGGAAAAGTGTATGGTTAAAACTTGCAGAATATGATAAAATTTACCGTGTTTCTTTCTCTATGGGAACACGAAAAGCACGGTAGTCTTAATCGACACACTTTTCATAATGACTTTGATAAAATGAACAATATCATACGGTTTTATAATATACGATAAAATGTAGTAAATGTGGTAAACTTTGAAAATTTTATTATGATACCTTAGAACATGGCATAAGAATCATTTATTCTGATAAATTTTCTATTCAGTTTTGTGTTTCTCACTAAATGTATGTTAATAAAAATTAAAATTTCTAAATAAATGGTTTAAATACCAAATATTTTGTTGTATATTACCAAACTTTTCCTTTTAATTCCAGAAATTCCATTAACATACAGCACGGTAATTTTAACAGAATTTTTTTTCTCAGTATACATGGTAATAGAAAGAGGAAAATTCAAAGTTTTTTTCTTTCCTTATCTCAGTTTATGAATATATCTCTCTATTACCATACTGCAAACAACTTATCGGTCGCTAAATTTTTCTACCACACGAGAAAGCATGTCACGCGTTACTAAGTGCATATCTGATCTGTAGTGGCAGGGTTCCGTCTTCCGGATAGTGTAATTCAAAGAATTTGAACGTAAATAATGACTCTAACATTATTAGAATTTAAAAACAGGAAAGAAATGTTCACCGTGTCTCCTCTTTATTTCACTATATACAACTAAGCAATAGCCATGTTCTATTATCACATGATATAACATGTTACCAAGTGCATTTTAGCAATGACAGGGTTAAAACTACCGTAGTTTAATGATAGAGTTTAAAAGTAAACAACCATTGTCTTTTTTTCCATAATTTTAAATGTGCAATACGAAGTAATTACTGAACTTTCTATTTATTTCCCAGAAAACAATTAAGCACGAGCCAAACTCGTCTATCACACAATAAAAGCACGTTTTGTGTTATTTAGAGCATTTCAGTTATAACAGGTTTTTCCCCCCGGCTAGAGTTGTTGATAGAGTGTGGGCGTAGATAACATTCTTAACATTATTATAATTTAGTCACTTGTTACAAATGCTGAATGGCATCTCCCTTTTACTGCACACAGCAGTGGTAGACAAACTCTTACGCCACGTGGAAAACGTTTGTCTTGTGTTACTAAATGCATTTCAACAATCACGGTTCTGCAGGTCATTTAGATTTTTTGATAAATATGGAGTATAAATAGCCTTTTAAGTAGCCAAACAAGAAAAAAAACACATAGCGATGGATCTGGGCTCCTTCTCCGAGGTGGCCATCTTCCTTACCATTTTGAAACTGACGGTGAAACAAAATGCTTATGAATTGGAGTGCCCAACCACAGGGGTAAAAAAAACCCTTAAAACTTCTTCATTTCAATAATAAGTAATACTTTTCAATAATGACTGCTTCTTTGTATGTAGGAACCGTGATAGCTCAGGGGATAGACTCAATTACACAAATTCTACTGGTGGCTGCTTAAAATGAATTCTGCTTAAAATGAATTCTGCTTCCTACTCGCATCAATAACAGTGATGTGAAATACCCTCAGTTACAGATTGGTCGTGGGAATCCAGTGGTTAGAGAATCGAGCCCCAGTACAGTCTTGATATAAGTTCATTTCTCTTCAGATCCATGTCTAAATAAAGTAAGTGGCCGCACAAAAGAAATTTAATTTATGATTATTCAAAATCATTCTCAGAGATATTTAACAGATCGTCGCCAATTGCCAATCATGCAGCTTTAGCGTGACGTATATAAAGTACCTACCTGTTAGTGATAGATGGATCATGGGTTAAAATCCTCTTCCCATTGGGCTAACCTCAGGGTGCTTTCGTGGTTTTCCACCCCATGTAATACAAATGTGGGTTTGTTTCATCAAAAAGTCTTCCACGAAAGCTAGTTTGTCCCAAGGTTTGATTCGGGAGTTCCTTTATCTCATGGGTTGGGTCCAAAACTACAAGACTACGGAGATGAACAATGATAGTCGTAAACTCTGAATTAGGTCGGCTGTTCAAATAAAAAAATACCTTTAGACTGTTATAGCGCTGTAGGAATAATATGTTTATATCTCATTTATATTTCGTGAAACACGAGTTGAGGAGTTCATCTTTTTGAATAGCCCTATATATTTTTTTCCGCTGAACCTTAAAATAAAGGTTATTTTCAATAGATAAATTCTCTTCCTGGTTTATTTATATTACACATCTTGTTTACATGTCAATGTTTTCATTTCATGTCAGTAAACGTGTTCTTCCACTACACTCTTCACTTAACATTAAACATTTTGAAAATGATTCAATTAAAAAATGAGGATAATCTTTTTTTCATCACTGAATGTAACTAGAAATATAATAATACATGCTTTAAATGTTATTATTTAGATCTGCAAAGTTGTTATTTTTTGAAAGAAATTATTAACATTTATATATTTAATTAATCAGGTGAGAACTGATCTGTTTGGTAAAGCACTGCGATTTATTGTTTTGGTTTTGTGTAATACTTTTATCAGTTAAGAGCAACGTTGACTACTGGTTTAGTGAAAAACTGTAAAAGGCGATGTTTTGTTACTCAGTGTTAAAAATTGCACATCGTGGTTTACTGTGGTAATTGAACCCATTACTCCCATGCTACAAAGCTATACACAGGCAGAAAATATCACGTGGATAATCACATGTTTTATTTATTATATGTATAAACTAGCAGTTTCTATAATCAATACAAAAAGAAATTAAACACCAAGTCCTGCAGTTTTTATTCAGATAGATATCTATATTGAGTAACTACTCTCAAATTTCAAAATGTTAGGCATTATTGATTTTACACATTCGATATATGACTTTCAGATTTGTATATTCGATTCTATTGATCGATTTGCGTCTAGTTGAAAAACTGAACAATTTTATTTGACAATTGAACTGAACAATTTTATTGAAGAATTTTATTTGACAATTTTATTTTTACAATTTGACTTGAGGAAAATTCTAAGAAATTACCAAGTCTTGTAATTACGAATTGAACTCGCTACCTCCTTCATTCTAGTTCAAAGAAAGGAAGCACAATCACCCAACCGTGGGTGTCCAAATTCAAATATTTTTCAATAGTTTTTGTAACATCATCTTTAAGTTAAGATAAGACTTGACTGTTAATGAACTTACTAGCTCAGATCACATCTGTTCAAACCATTTTTGTTTACACAAAAAATTTCGCAAAACATTCGATGTTTGAAATTTTACAGAAATTCACTATAAGTTACATTAAAAAATATATGCACTAGTGTTGAGACTTAAATATTTTCAAACTGTTTGAAAGTTCTGGCCATTTTATTTGCAGAATGTTCTGTAATGAATACCCTTAATATGTATTTCGAAAATCTCTAGGTTGGAATTCAGTTAAAGTATTATTCTTTTTGCAGGTTGAGAAAGAATAATTTATTAAATTATAAGGAATCAAATTCAAAGCTAACCAGGGCAAACGTGAAATAAAATAATTAAAAATAACCTGAACGACATGTAGAAAGAGAGAAATTTATTCAGTTTCACTTCATAGCTAAATCACGAAATAAACTAATTTTGGAAAATTTTACTGGCGGAAATGCTCGGATCGATTTCAGTAATAATTGGCCAAATTTTTCGAAAAATCATTCTCACACTAAATATTGCTTTTGGCTCGTAACAATAATATTTTCTTACTTTAAAGTCTATAAAGATGGAAAGAAATACAAATGAAGGGTAGTCATTTACTTACATATTGTACATATTAATTTTTTGTGTGTAAAATGTTTTTAAACATAATTTGGTATGAATAACTCGAGATAAATTCATTAACATTTCATGTAGTGTTTATTTTTCTATTCATATATTTTAGATCATGTGTACATTAGTCAGAAAAAAGTAAGTAAGAATTAAAAAAGAAATATTTCAACTGTAGACAAAGTTCATAGTTATGAATTGTGTTCATGTTTACTACACGAAGCTATAAATCCAAAACACTTATCAAAATGTCTCCGAGTGAAAGTGCTATCCTGAAATCATTTTAAGTAAAAAAAACATAACGAGTAAAATAAATAAATGATAAAAATCAAGATTTTTTGCTAATAAAATGTTACTCAAGAAAGCAATTGTAAAAAAAACATATTGAATCTTAAAATATAAATATAACCGAACGAAATTTGTAGAAACCGAATTTAAATGAGACAACGATTTTATTGAGAGACGATTTTTTTTAATTATTATGCAGTGACCAAAATGCAAAATTACTTCATATTTGCTAACTTACTTCGAGAAATCATATTTAAATCCAATTAAACGAAAACAGAAATGTTTTAGAATAGTGTTAATTTAGCATTTATCAAATACGGAGAAATTTGGTTGTCTTCCCCTCTTGTTTGCAACACTGAATCGTATTAATCCAGATGGTAATTGTAAAAGTTTTATTGAAATTATTTATCTTCAAATGAACATAATTGCAGAAAATTGATTAAACTAAATTTAACAGACCAAAGCATATATTATTTTAAATACTATGCAGGGGCTAGAATACTAGGTTAAACCATATTTGCTAACTTTTTTCGCGATATATCTCTCAAATTCTAATAAAACGAAACCAGAAAGATTTTGGAATGGTGTTAATTATCATGTTATCTTACCATGTTGTTTTCTGCACAAATTACGTAAATACGTGTAATAAACTATTAAATCTGAGAGCCGTCAGTCTTGAAATAAATTAAACAATAGCTGGAGGAAAATCATAAGATTCTAGTATTTCACTATTTAGTTAAATAAATAACATTTCTGAGCCATAATAATTGAAGATCATTACTACAATGTAAAACATTTTCATGTATCTGAACACCGAAAATGGTGACAACGACTTTACCTTAAAGTGATGTATCACTAAATATTCCACTACACCAAAACCGAGGATGCTTCCTGGTGAAGAATATTCGAAAACCTTACCTTACATACCTTAAAATATCCTTTTACACTACTTAAAGTAAAGTTGTCACCACCGTTTGTGTTATTCATCACCATCATCGATGGCTCGATCGCCCAAGGTGGTCATTGGCCTTCCCAAGAAGCTTTTTCCAGGCCAACTTTTCTCCTGCTAACGTATTCCAGGTTTCAGCTTTTAAGACCAAATGATCTTTTTCTACACCATCTATCCATCTTTAATTCGCCTGCATATTTTTCAAGCGCCATCTGAACTTATTCAGTGTATCAATAGAATAAGTATTCGTGTATTCAGTAACACTAAAATTTATAATTGTAGTAAGATATGATACACA